GATTATAAACTGTTATGAAAAATGAAAATGGTTTGATCTTACTTAAATGTGTATTAGTATGATGGAAGTTTTAAAGGAACATGATATAATGCATTAAATATTTTTCATTTTTTTTAAAAAAAAATACAAATAAAAACTACATAAAAATGGTTTGATCTTACTTAAAATTGTTATTTGTAGCAACTAAGTAAGATAACAAAAACTACATAACTTGCACATTAATTACTTTAGGGGGTTATCCACATGAAAGATTTTGAAGTCATTAATATTAGTAATTATCAATTAAAAATAAAAATTGCATATATAAGAAAATGTGAATTATGCAGAATAATACTATTGTGTAATTATTTGAAGATGAAATTTTGAAATTATTTTTTAAAATATCACACCGGTGAAGAAAATTATAAAAAAATGCTGAAAAACTTTGAAAAAAGATAAATGTAATTGTAGGTGATAGAAATGTATCTCTTCATCTTATTTATATCTAACATTCTAACTTTATATCTAAATAGATATATTGGTTATAAGTAAATAATAAAGCCAAAATAACTTAATTTTTTTTTTAAAAAAATGTTATTTTGAAATTTATAATTAGAAAAGGTCAAAAAAAAAGAAGGAAAAGAAAATGGAAAATTAATCAATTAAGAGTGGAAATTAGAAAGATGTGAGTTATGGATAGTTATTATTTACTCCTTATAATTTAGTATGTGAAAAGTTTTTGTTGTAAATATTCCTTTATTAGTAAAAAATTATTTTTTTAATTAATTGAGTAAATTACTTTTACAAAAAATCAATTAATTTAAATAAGATAAATGGTAAAAAAGAGAGAAGATAAATGTCACATCACTTTTTTTCTATTTCTCACATTTTTTTAGTTTTAATATAATTAATGTGACTAATGGGAATTTTTTTTTCATTCTATTCATTAAATAATTTATTTATTCATTAAATTTTTTAGGGATAATGCACAAGTACCCCTTCAACATATGTCCGAAATCTTAGAGACACACTTATACTATACTAAGGTCCTATTACCCCCCTGAATTTATTTTATTAATAATTTTCTATCCTTTTTCAGCCTACGTGACACTATCTTGTGGACCCAACGTTGGTTGACTTTTTTTTCAAGCTAGTGCCACGTAGGCTGAAAAGGGGTAGAAAATTAATTATAAAATAAGTTCAAGGAGGTAATAAGAACTTAGTATAGTACAAGTGTGTCTCTGAGATTTAAGACATAGGTTAAGGTGGTATTTGTGCATTTTCCCAATTTTTTAAACGGAAAAGGGTCTAAAATACCCTTGAAGTATTGAAAATAGTACAAAATTACCCTTCATCCACATATTGGCTCCAAAATGCTCTTTTCATCCACCTATTGGCTCCAAAATACCCTTGTCATCCACCTTTGAGTTTAAAATTGACCACTTATTTAATGATTTTAAATTTAAACTATTTAAATATTTTTAAAATACTTGATGTTCAACTATTGGTTATAATTTAATTTATTTGTATTATTTATAAACCAACCCACTACCCACTCATTACTAACTAAACCCCACCCAATTAATAATCCAACTTTAATATCAAAATCGTCATAAACACTACTAAAAAAAAGGATGATATTATTAAATTAATGAAAATAACATCCAAAATTATTCGAGTCTGAATCGAAGCCCCAATTAAATTTATGTTAAGCCGCTTATTTTGGAGGACACTTTCAATATGATTCTCTTTCAAGATGGAATTAGAAATTTATGGTTAAAGGTAAAGAAGTAATACATCCCGAATTAATTCATGCACTTTTTAAAAATATATATAAATATTTATGATTTGTTTTTCAAAACCTTTAATATATTATTTTGAAAAAAGGTTACCTATGAATTAACATCACATAATTGAGACGTAAGAATAATTAAGATGAACATAGTCAAACTTTTAATTTTATCGGTAGTATTTATTTAGACACTTGAATGTATGATAATTTACTTCTATAAATATTTTCGTCTCAAATTTTTAAAAACACTCAATTGACAATAGTTTTTCAGTTGTGTCATTAATAATGTGAGTGATTTATTAATTTGGAGGGTTTAACTAGTAATGGGTGGGTAGTGGATTGATTTTTAAATTATACTAATAAATTAAATTATAACAAATAGTTGAGCGCTACGTATTTAAAAAAATATTTAAATAGCTTAAATATAAAACCGTTAAATAAGTGGTTAATTTTGAACCAAAAAGTGGATGACAAGGGTATTTTGGACCCAATAGGTGGGTGACAAAGATATTTTGGAGCCAATAGATGGATGGAGGGTAATTTTGTACCATTTTCAATACTTTGAGAGTATTTTAGACCCTTTTCCGTTTTTTAAAAATACTAAAAAGATGATTTATTTATTTCTTCTTTGACTATTTTTTAATATGATAAACCATATCATATATTTTTTTAGGGGCATCAATATGCAATAACTATGAGAAATGTATCATGTGCAATATTATATCTTTCATCCATGACAGAAATTAAAATATTAATTAGAACTTGACGAAAATATATACATAAAAATAAAACCGTATAGCTTTTCATCTTCATTCATTCACATAATAATAAGAAGAAGAAGAAGAAAAAGAGCAAAGCAAAATGAGTAAAAAATGTTAATTGAGCTTTCTAATGAGTTGATTAGTAGAGTTTCATAATTTATTTTTTGTTAAATAACATGAAATTATGTATCTAATTAAAAAAGAGAATAATATAATCAAATATTACATGAATGAATGAATCTACAAAATATTTTGAAATCATTCAAGCTTTTGTAGTAATATGATTATCTTCTTGATGAAATCTTAAAATATATTAAGATTTTTTCTTCATTTTAATAAAAATGTACCAAGTAATGCAAACATCCATTTGATGAATCTTGAATAATATTTCTATGACCTTTATCAAAATGAAGACCATATGGTGAAATCGTTAAGTACATGATTGATGAAAAAGATGATTGAAAAAAATTAAAAGAGAAAAAAACTATACTAATAAAAAGAAAGAATGAGAAAATAAAAATGGTCATTGAACATTGAACATTGATAGTTATTATTTATAGATTGTGTAAATAATAAGAATAATTAAAAATAAGTTGAAGAGACATATTATTTAAGGAGGGAATGCAAATAGATAGAGGTATTGTTGTAACTATTAAATATAATTAGAATAATAAATATGAATGAATTTTTAATTTATAAACAAATTATTTAATGAAAAGAAATGAAAAACAAAGTCAAAAAAGGAGGAAAAAAAATTGAAATGGAGGCATAGAGAGGTGTCACCTTCTCTATTATCCTCCTTTATGTCTTAAAATATTATATCAAAATATAAATTAATCTTTTGATATTATTTGATTATGAAAAAGTTTTTAGTTTAAATTAAACTAAATAGATTAAAATTTGAATTCATCTTGCCATTCACATTGTACTGATCTCTAACAAACATAATACACTACTACATGAAGGACGAAAAAGTACTTTTTCATATTTCGTTAACATAAATTGATTTAATGTCATATAACCAAAAAAAGAAATACTACGAGAAGGTAAAGATCATAGAAAGAAAGAGTACACAACAAAATAAAAAATTAAAATACACTTTCTATGTTTAAAAACTAAAACTTTTCATGAAACGAAAGTCTAGCAACTTGAAGTAAAAATACGGTGTAGTGTAGTTTTAGTAGTAGTTAATACTCTTCTTCGATGTCCGTGATTTACCATGAAATAAGAAACGTATAGGTGCCTTTTTGACCCTTCAACTTATGTCTTAGTAGTTTTCTGAGGAAGACTTTTAAGAAAATTAAGAAAAACATTATTTCAAATATGAAACAAAAAAGATAGATAATTTCAAGTAGGGATTTCATTAAATAAAAAATTCTGAACTTAAACAAAATATAAATACATATTTACATCTAAACAAAAATACATATGTGCAATAACAAAAAAGTTGTAAAAATTTAAAATAAAAAAGTTATATGAAGAAAATAAAAACACACATTCATCTTCCTTGGAACCTTATCAAAGAGAATAGATAAAAAATAAACAAAATCAATGCCCACTTTTTCTGTCTCTTGTCTTGACACCTTTTTTGAAAAACTAATCAATATTCAAGAATTTTCTTCACCGTGTCAAGTTAAAGCATGAATTTGATAATATAATAATACTACAAAAAACAATGAAATATAAGGAATAATCTTAAGTTGAAATTTCATTAAACAAAAAGCTTGTGAATTTATTTTTTCATTAAAAATAGAGAGATATCATAATGTATCTTAAATTTTATAATTTAATAGTTAAATTATACATTTGAAAACTTAAAAGTCATGGAATTAATGATATTATAAAAAAAATTAAAGTTTTATAGATTTATGTTATGGAGGTAAAACATAAAAATTAAAATAAAATCAAACAACAAAGTAAAGTAGATAGAAGAAATACATTTATATCATATAAAGATATAATTTTTTATTTTAAATAAACAAAAAAAAAAAAGAAAAAAGGCAGCAAAGAACGGAAAAAACTATAAAACAAATAAAAATCATAAAATTTAATTATCGTGAATAGTTTGTCCAAATTCTTTTAAATCAAACGAAATAGTTTGTTATAATTGATGAGAAATTGAGAAATATTATAGGAAAGAGAATAATAATTTTAGGTGATTTTTTGAATAATAAAATTAGAAAAAAGGCTCAAAAAAGGAAGATAAAATGGATTGAAACCCTAGAGAGGATCACGTCACCATTTTTATATATATCTTTATTATTATATATAGGTTTGTAATAAATTTTATATTTCATTTTTACACTAAAATAATTAGTTTAAATAAATAAAAAATATAAATACAAATAAATGTTATACAGAAATGTCACATATTATACAAGAAAAGACAAAGAAATCATATCTTTACAATGAATCATGGATTCACATCATGGAAAATAGTTTGGATACATATGTAGAAAATATATTATTCGCTTAATTATATATATCTCCCTTATTTAGAAAGGAGAGTTGGAGATGACTAACACAGCATCAGATAATTGTACCAAAAGTAACATCAATTGTACTATAAATTTGAATTCATTTTATTTCTTTATTTTCTTAGTAAACCACGTGGGTCCTTTTTTGAGAGACACATATTTTTTTTTGTCTTTGTGGGAGACAACTGGCCTCCACATTCATTTTCACCTGCACTCCCCCAAATACTCCTCCATTTTTCTTTAATTTCTCTCTTTCTCTCACTACTAAGCCATATCTTTTCTCTCCATGGTTGATTCATTCCTATGCTCCGTGGTTGAAGTTGATGGATGCTACAATGAGAGTATGTAATTCACTTAAAATAAGGATAATGTCCCTAATAATTTAGTATCGTTCTCATTGTCATCTGTTTATATGCCTCTTACCCTTTAAAGTTTCTTGAATTTGATATTTATCAGGATTATGAATGAACTATTCAAAGTTACTGCATGTGAGTATCTCACAAATTCTTGCTTATATTTTATTCGAAAGTTCCTAAATTAACTCATGTTATATCTGTTCATATCTTTGTTAAAAAGGTTGATTATGTTTTCTGGTCAAGGTATAATTCTGAATTTCTCTAGAAATAGAACCTTTGATTTATTTTTCTTATAGACTTCTTTATGTATCTTTATTTGAGTCTTTTTTCTTATTTTCTTTCAATCAGAGTCTATCAGTTACTAATTAAATGGATGATACATCTAATCTTTTAGTTTATTTTTTCATCATGCTTGTTTGATAATTCCTGATAGGAAATTGATTGTTTGTTCAATCACTTCTTATGAATCAATTTCATGTTAGATATGCCTAAGTTAACTAAAAAAGTTTATGTTTCTTTTTCCTTTTTTTTAAACACAGAAGTTCTATAACTCGGTCCTCGCATAGCATTCACCAATCCAAGAGCTATATTATTTAGCACTACTAGACAATATTAGTAAGTAATATCGTTTAATTAAACTTAGAATCGATTTTGTGTGTGCCTTTTAGGCTCATGCCCATTTGGGGTTTGAGTATCTTTATTTTTGTATGTGAACAAATTGTCGACTTTATTCAATATTTCTATGAATTTCTACAAGTCCTATATAGATGTGACATGCAATTCGTTTTCCATTTAGCACTTTCACTGAATTTCAAACATAAAAATTGTTGATTTCCCTGCATTCTACTATGCTATCTTGGGGTTTGCAGGGAAGTAAAACTACTGAAAAACTTCAGTTGTTAGTTGTTGCGTGTTTATTCCGAGATGTCAATATGGGGAAAAATGTTCTTTCGATATGGATTTGAAGGTTACCAGAATATTTCAGCAGGTCTTATGCTCTCTTTATTTTTTATATTTCCTTCAATCTAAAGTTTGTACGCTAAATATGTTTGTGTCCTTTATCACTTTAAATAAGTGTATATTTTGGTTATATAATGACATAACATCTTGCTATTCTGTTACTTTCTTTCACGTTCTTAATCTACCCAAAACAAATAGTATGTTGTGTTTCACATGAGCTTTTGTTCATCTTTTGAGTAGCAAGGTAAATATGCATCTGTCAAACAACGATGTGCAAAAATAGAGACATTTTTTGAGATACTATAGATGATTTTTATCTTTTGTTGACAGTGAATTGATAGGTTCCCTGACAATAGGTTGATAAGACTTTTTACTGGACTATCAACAACTCTGGTCCAAAAAAACAATGTCAATCAACTTGGGAGCTCTATGCAATTAAAATGACCGTTGATCAAACACATGTAAAACTATAAAAGCCAAATTAAGAAATTACGAAAATTAAGGTGTGGAAAAAGACATAAATATGAAGCTGAAGATGTAAATGGCAAAAAATTATCTGCTTCCATATTACAATTGATGTTACTTCTGGTACAATTATCTGATGTTTTGTTCGTCCTTTTGGTAGTTCACTTATAAATAAGAGTAATAATATAAGTTGCTTGTGGTACAACTTTCTTATGCTATGTTAGTCCTCTCCAACTCTCCCTACTAAATAAGGGATATATTATTTTAATTGTACTAATAGAAGATGTTGATAAGATGATTATATCAGTTTTGTTATTACTAGGATCTGTTTTGAATGTTAATAGAACTATACTATCATTTCAATATCTTAATAACTACTTCAATAGTTAATCGATTTTTGTAGAAAATGACTGGTACATAACGTATTGATTAGGATTTTGAGGTAATATCAATGGATGGAAACATAACTGTTACATGACATGTTTGTCCTAGAATCAAGATTCAAAGAGGCGCATTTTTCTCATCGTGCGTTATGAGCTAGAGCTATGTATGAATGGATTGGTTTTATGGACCTAGCTGAGTTATTCCACTTGCCTACTGGTATGTCTATAAGCGACATTTTAAGAAACCAATCAAAGAGTGCTAATAGCAAAGTTTCTTGGTTGTAGGTGTCATGTCATAGGACCATTCAGTTACAAATATGTACATATGTATATATCTCTCGACTACTATAGAAATAGAAGAAATTATAGAAGCGGAAAAATAGAATTGAGCAGATATAGCCAGTTAAAGTGCAACAGAACTGAAACAGAGATTGCTCATGTTCTTGAAAGTTCAACCGCAAACTAAAGCACCTAAAATCATCTTAAATTTTCTAGCTTGAGGCCAACATAAGCTTTCATTATGCTAACAATAATGGCTATCATTTAGGAATAGACTTTTCTGAATGTGGACAAATTTATACCTTAAACAATCTTATAACTGCATTATGTCTTGTTTGTTGCAGGGTATCTTTTAGGTGTTGGCAAACCCTATTATATTTTTTCACTTCTAAGTTTCATTTCTCCACAAGTCTTCTTCCAGGTAATGCATTATCGTGGTAACAGAGCCACACAATTCTATCTATTCACCTGAGAGTTTAACTTTTTATACACTGATGTAGAAAGAAATAATAGTAATTTGATTCGGAAAGTGTAGATCAGTTGCTTGATAAAAGAGGTAATGAAATCAGCATATGACTTGGTTTTCTGCAAGGAAAATGTGATCTAATATGTAGGTACCTAAGTCTTCCTATGTACTAGAACTTTAAACGTCAGAAATGTAAACCATAAGTCAAGTCTTTCAATGGAGCTCTTAATTTGGTTTTTTCAAACTAATACCAATTCTATCTCATTTCAGGTTAGTGCATAACCATGTCATATACTTGGTCTCTTGGTTACTGCTTTAGCAACTAGCCATTAGTATTCACGTGGTTCTTTCATGATATAGAGGAGGTGCATTTCCCCCCATGGAGATATACTCTATATATCACCAAGCTGCATAGATCAAACAAAATTCTTTCTAGATTAAGACGAAAAATTTAATTTATGCAGATTTTGTATGATGGTTTATGCAAATTAAGAAACTGTGATTTGTTTTTGCAGGCAAAGCACACGGTAACTGGTGAAGATAGGAGTTAAGGAGAGAGAACACAATCCCAAATTGCCTTTTCTTACCACGCAAAAACAGGGGGCAATAACATTTATTTAGAGATGAGTATTAGAAAAGGCTATCTGTAACTGTAATGTTTTATTGTTGGGATGATCTTAGGCACTTATTATAATTCAATTTAAAGAATCCTGATTAGGAGCATATTATAATTTGTACATAAACTATTAATTATTGATTAGGCACATATTAGAAATATATATATATATATATATATATATATATAGAGAGAGAGAGAGAGAGAGAGAGAGAGAGAGAGGAGAGAGATCATTTCTTTCTTACATGGACATGAGAATGTTACTTTGTTATCCATATTAATGAAAAGTGATTCTACTAAATGTAGTAAACTATTTAAGTTGTATTGTTACCGTATAAAAAAATATCGAAATCAAATATGTTGGGCCCGTGCTTAGCACGGGCCATGACCGATCTAGTATATATATATATACATATATATATATATATATATATATACATATATATATATATATATATATATATATATATATATATATATATATACTAAAAGTGGGTTTAAAAGCAGTTGAAATTTGAAATACCATTTTACCCCTACACTAGATTAAAGTATTATAAATGGAGAGTTCATGTGTTCAAAGGGGGATTGTTTACTCTTCTGGATTTCAATGGAAGTTCATTGCATATATTTAATATACTTGAAATTGTTCTCTTTTATTTGTTTTGTCCCTTTGAAACTCCAAATAATTTAAAACTTTAAGATATATTTTGGTATTCTTCTATTTTTATCTATATAAATTCATTTTTTTGTGTCATGAAACTCACATACTAAATGATCCTTTTAATTTTATTGTTAAAATAGTGAAGCCAACAACATCTAAAGTACATGATATATCTACCTTAGCCTGATTATATATCAGTTCACGAAAATAAAATGATTTTTCAATTTGATTCGTTCTTCAGTTTGACTCGATGGTTAACACTTTTGAATTTTTATTGGATACGAGAGAAGGTGTTGACAAAAACTTGGAAAATTATTTACTGATTTGGTATTTCCTTTTTCATTTATATAATGTTATTATTAGGGTCTTAAGAATGATGCATAATTGTTATTTTTTTTCTTATGTTTATTTTTTTTATCTTTGTCTATTAGTCCTCTTTAATTTAATTTTATATTAATTATTATCATAACATTTATTTATGATTTTTCCATTTTAGTTCTCATTACACACATACTTTCATCAAACTGTAATCATCCTAACTAATTTATAACATATTGCATGCCACATGTCTAGAAACTAGTATCAATGATCATTTTGCCCTTAACAAATTAAAATATAACTAAACAATATTAATGAACTACATTTTATTTCAATTAATTTGAAAGTTGAAAAGATTTTATGACTTAATTAGTAAATTTGAAGGGGTGCATGAAAAATGGAAGACTATTATCAGTTATGTGTGATATTTTGCAGGGTTACATTACTATTAATAGGCGTATATCCTCCATTGTATGAAATTCAAATGGATACATCACAACCATGATAAACATACACTCATATTTAATTGAGAAAGTGTCACTTGTAATAAGGAGATATTATTTAGCTAGAGGAATGGAAAAGAAACTATTGCTATCCCAAAAGCTACTAAGTTGGAGGAGGAAAATACAATGTAAATAGCCTGAATGTGGCACCAAAGAGGGATAAGCATATGAGAATTGTGCAATAATGTTGATGTTTTGTACAATATGTTTAACTATAAATTAAGATTTTTCTCTCCAACATTTTTTACATTTATTTCTATCAAATTTGTAAGTAAATTATATTGTCATTATTAGCAAAATTAAAGTGATTTTTTCGTAAATCGTTATGAGTTATCTATTTTTTTTACTGGTCTTGATTGCCAAATAACAATTAACTTTAGTATATAAAGGCTGCTAGTTATTGTTTAAGCTTGTTTGTAGCTTATATATGCCAATTATTTTAAATTCTTTACGATACAAATATAATTTAATCGACTTATAAAAAAGTAAAATGTTTGAATAAACAATTGAGTAAAGTAGTTGTTATATGACGTATGTTCATTTTTCTCTGTCACTTTGTAAAAGAAATTCATCTATTTCTTACAATAATGAATGTATATATGTAAATGCAAAATAAGATTGTTATTGTGTTATTGAGCGTCATCATGTGTATTGATAATATTCCAATCATGATCATAGATATTCAAATTTATTCAAACTATGAATTAAGATTTTTCTCTCTTTAACATTTTTTTACATTTATTTTTATCAAATTTGTAAGTAAAATTATAATATAATTATTAACAAAATTAAATGATTTTTTTGTGAATTGCTATGAGTTATAAAATTTTTTGTTACTATCTTGATGGTCAAATAATGATTAACTTTAGTAAATAAAGGTTGTTCAATTATTTGTAGATTAAGGTTGTTCGTTTTTATTAAAGTTTGTTTACAACTTATTTGCTGACCACTTTGTAATTTTTACCAAAAGAAATTAAGAACACAATGAAAGTATTTTAGTACTTAGAGTCAAAGGTAGAAATTTAAACAAGGCATCAAGGCAAAAATTAAAATTACAAAAAGGTATTTGAGAGTTTTCATGGGACAAAAGCTTCTTCTTTTTGAACCATATGAATAGGATCACCATTAATTATTTTCATAACTCAAATATAGAACTTAAAAATATCCATATGAATTTTTAAACTTATAAACTCAATGATATATGGATATACGTGCAAAGTGTGTGCCTAGAAACTAGTTTAATATATATCTAAACGGATAACATCAATACTCATTTTTTTTAATTTTTTTAGTCAGAGTTAAGTTATTTTAACTTTTAGTTTGTGACTTTACTTGATTATTCTTGAAGTCAAGTCATGGACCATATGGATATAGTAGGGAAATTTTCATACATGACAAATTAAAGAGAAAGAACATAATTAGCTTTCATAGCTAGAATTTACCTAATTGTACTTTATATGTATAGTTTTATTTGTTATGGGACCAATAAGTGATAGTCATTTGGCAATTCCACCAATCATTCTATATCTTCAACCATCAAAGAGAATGAGAATAACCTCAACCTCATGGACGCATGTGAGATGGTTTTAAACACAAATTGTCTACACACCTCCACAAAATTTCGAAGGTGTTCATGGCAGTCCTCATAAGCTAAACATCCCAAACATTCCTCTTAATTGGAACAATTGTAGCTACAATCCATATACATGAAACACTGTCCTCCCGACTATGGGAGGTATCCACATGGCTCCCGTAGTTTGAACAATATTGACGTGCATATCATGCGATCATTGGATCACCCATGCCATTTTGACTGTAGTGACTATCATTTCATTACCATGGTCATTCATTGTATTAGACCTGCAAATCAACCAACAACAACCCAAAACAATAAATTACTACAACTAAGTAAATTTACAATAATTTCTCAAATAAAATTCTCAACCACCAGTATCCGGCAGCGACACCATTTTTTTAACACTAAAATGTACTTGATAAACTATTAAAAGAGACATTGTTCATAATCATTAAAAGTACCTAACTAAGAGTCGAAATTGTGACTTTTTTCTCTCTAAGTAAATGTACCACTCATCATGTCTTTGATGAGGTGTTACAATGTGGTTATTATCACGCCTGTACTCATAAGTTTCTTGAATTTATTGTATATCAAGAAATCTCATGTGGCAGGGTATGAGTTTTTTCTCTTTTAAATAAGGAGGTTTTCACGTAAGCATTTGTGTTCTTAACTTTAATCATTTACTGCTTTTGCTATTATTAATACAATCAAGGGACCTAATCTTTTAATTCATGATGGATTCATAGAAGTCAACAAATATAAAGTCTGTCATTTCATGGAGAATTAAGTGGACTTTTTTAAGATAAAATTTTACGTCCTTGGTGTTGCAAATTTTTATTTCTTCCAAGATCTATATATAGAACAAGCAGAGGGGATGATATCCTAAATTCTCCATTAATAAGCATTAATATACCACCTTGAATACATGCCATGTACAAAAAAAGCTAAAGAAAGACAAATCATAGATAGTGGATCAGAATTTATTTTTTCTTTGCAGACGTCTTAGAGAGGGCATTTAAATGATATCAATAGTGTACATACTAGCTGCATCTTTTGGCAAATCTTTCGGATAAAAAACCAAGACGTCCTTGCTATATAAATAATATTTATCTAGTACGTCTTTCCACTTGATTCGCCTCTATGAAGCAATGTTGAACTTCCTGCAAATTCATTCTTCTTGTCTCTATAATAGTATCCCGCAGTTTCCAGGCCATTTGAGATTTATCCTTAATCATATTGGCTATAACAAAGGAATCTCATTCTAAAGTGAAGTCTGGATAGCCATTTTCCACGCACAATTTTGCTCCAAAATAGGCTGCTTTGGCCTCTTCTATATTGCTCGTACCTTTCCCAATATCTTTTGCGAAGGCTAGTATTAAATTGACCATTTATCCCTTATAATACCACCTACTCCAATCAATCCTTCAGAGTTGCAACTGCAATTAATAGTGATAAGAGGCTCTCCTCATGTTGTTTTGATGATTCCTCAAAAGTGCAGGGACCCGGTCCTATATAGAGTATGAAGAAAACCTGTCTCATCTGCGAAAGTACAGACAAATATAGAAAGTTGTCTACGTCAAGGAGGTTGGTGAGGAGTAGAGTACTTCTCCAATCAAAATCGACTAGATTGTTTTGTTTGATGGACAACAAATCTTTATGATATATATCAAACAAAACACAACATATTACTTATTCATCCAAATAGGGAAAATACTTTCTAGCATCAAGAACAACAAGATATTGATCAAAACGCTTTCAGTTCTTCTTGTTATTTGTTGTTTTTATATTGGCTTGTGATTGCTCTCAAATTGTAGGATTCGTTCAAAATGTATCAAACCTTGGGTGTTTCATTGTAAGTGCTTGGGTTACCGGTAACTTAGGTTCTTACTGAGCAGTGTTGTATCTGCTCATGCTCAGCTAAGTAATAGGGTGTATTTCTTAGTGAAGAAACTATAGGGTTTGTCTCTTGTTTTGTAATCAACTTTTACTTATTCTTGTTTGAAGATTAGTGAAAGTGGTTTATTGAAAAGTCCTGTTGAGAATAGGTCACAATTTTACTCCCTTGAGCA